AGCTTAGCTTTTAGACGTTTCTTGTGCTTTCGAGCTTTGTTGTTAGAAGTTTGAATGCATTATTTTTCCATTAACTTTTTTTACCATATGGATATTTTTGTAAATTTATTATTTTTTAATATTTTTTTTGGGCGCCAAATAGTAATTTGAGGCGAAAAATAACCACACCCAAAATTAATCATGATAACTTTTAATACATTTTTTGTTCATTTTTATTGACAGGTACAAGCTAAATATTGGGGACAACACCGAAATAGTTCGCCTTTTGTGTAGTTGCTCAAGAGTTGGTTGGAAAACCATGTGATGTTGTTGTTTCTCTACAGAGAAACCTTTCCTCCAAGTCACAAGGTACGAGCCATTTCCACTATTTTCTCCAGATCAAGATCAATTTCGGTCTATCTAATTTCTTTCTAAGAGATAAGACCTATGGCTTATACAAGTCAACCTCGACGCACACTCTTGCAAAGCATCTCCTAGAAACATATCAATTGTTCTGGTCCACCTTTAATTGTTGGCTTTCCCAAATCATGTGAAATTTACCTTATCTCTTCCGAAGGAGTAGCTTTAAGTAGGCATCTTTCCTAAGTTGTTCTTGCTTAAGTTTCGTTTCTTCTTGGTCAGCTGTAAGGTGAGGAAGTTGAAGAAGGCGCTATCGTCTAGTTGAGAAAGGCACTCGCTCGTTCTCTTTGCATCTACAATAGATGGGGCGAGGCGAAGAAATGGCTTTCAAACGATTCCTGCGGGGTAGAACCTATTTATTACCTAGTTAGCCTGTAACCTAACCTGACTTTCCTAATTTCATAAACGAACTCAACTGTCTCGAGTGAAGAAATGTTCAAGGCATGTGTATTTATTATATTAACTATTTCCCGAATGCTTTATTCTTATATTATCAAAATTATAATTTAATTTGAAGTTCATCATGCTGCAAAATGATGGATCGGGTCTACCACTTGACCTTGAGCTTTTGATGGACAAAGTGCTATTGTTTCAGGTTTCAAAGAAAAATGATTAATTTAAATCATATAATGGTCCATTTACTTCTTGAATAACAGTCGAACCTATTTTGGTCAACCGATTTGGTGCATTGGCCAACTCTTCCCAGGTTGGCCTGATTTTATTTACAAAAAAGTCCTACAAACTATAATATAAAAAGTATTATTATAATTATATTATATAATAATTAATACAATGTAATCATTTTTATCAATTGGAGTCTGACTACCTCTCCAAATTGTATCAAAAAGATCATGAAGCTGGTTAAGTAAGGGTTATTTTTTATTTATGTTTTTTATTTTCAGTAGCAGAATATATTTTTTTCATAAAACCTTTTTTTTTTCTTATAAATATGTAGGGATCAGAGGGTGAAGTTAACATTCCCAACAAGACTGTTTCAATCTGCAAAGAAAAAACAGAAAAAACAAAAAAGAGAGTATAAAAAGAATTATTTGAAGATGGCTCGAGCTGTTCAATGGAGCTAAAGGACAAGAAAATTAAAGTTGAAAAAAAATCTAAAAGGTTGGATCACAATTTATATTAACTTGGAAGTTGTTTCTGATAATTTAATATCAATGTTTCAGTTTTATGTTGTTTTAATAATACTTTTAGGAATCTACTTGGAAAATAATAATCTATGAATAAAAATGTTTCTATTTAAATGTATTTAATTTTTTTCTCTTTTTCTTTCTTTTTTTTCTTTTACTTCAGAAAAAATAAACAAAAAGTAACTGAAAACCAGCCAAAATATTTGATTTAAAAGGCTAAATGGCAACTACAAAACGACAAATGACAACTTTTCATTCAAATGACAATTAAAAAACCACAAATGACAACTTTTTAACAAATTCAAATAAATATTTAACAAAACCATGATTTCAACACACAAAAATACTACGAAAATACATCAACTTTTTAATACCTTCCAAATACAATAAATATTCAATAATCTTAATAAAAGCTATCAAATGTACTTAATATATTTAGCAAATATTGATGCTGCAATTTTCTATATAAACCCCCAAAATTTTATTTCAGTCTACCTATCCCAAGACACAGCATATAAAGAAAAACTTGAGCAACACATAGATCTTTTTATCTTCTCTTTTACCAAAAAAAAAAAAAAAAAAANNAAAAAAAAAAAAAAGCATATATAATTAACTTTCAACAACAAAATTATCCCATTTATTTTAAGCATTATCCCAAAAAACGCAGCTTATACAACCAATATTCAGCAGCTTCAGCAGCTCATCATCGGCCCACAAAAGGACCAAACAAGAAGAGTATATAAAAAGCACACAAAGAAGCTGGATTTAGCACAAATTTTAATATAGAGAACGTTGATTCAACACACATCCAAACAACATGAAAAGGTTATCCAACGGGTACAGCATATTGGGCAATAAAAAGACCAAACAAGATACTATTGCTAATGGTACACCGACTAATGTGTACCATATGTTTTCTTTCAAAAAATATAAGAATGAATTACCTTTTTAGCATCACTTTCAGTAATCTTCTATTTGAGGCTTCAATGTGTTCGTCCTTTTCATTTTTTAGTACCCGAATAACAGAATGATGGTCCTCATTCAAGTGATAAATTTTAAACCTGCATATAAAAACAAATTTGTTAAAATTCTGTTTGATTTCATAGAAGATAAGAAATTTTTCGCTGAAATACATTAAAATTCTTAAAATTTCATAAAACATAAAAATAGATCATGCCGATATAGAGGTCGTGTTTACAATTCGAAGGAGATCCGACGGTGGTAAAATTACGCAAAAGGACCTTATTCAGTCTCCTAAAACCACGGATCGGGCAGGTGCCTGTCTGTCGGAACCTTTTCATCACGGTAAGCTAGGAGTAGGTGTAAAATTAAGAAAAAAAAAAAAAATATATATATATATATATATATATATAACTTCAGACCTTGGTAGGAGTCCCAATGGTGGTTAAATATAGCAAAAGGACCATATTTGTTCTCTTAAAACCACGATTCGGGCAGGTGTCCGTCCTTCGGAACCTTTTTTTCACGGTAAGATCACATAATAGGTGTAAAAAATTATAAAATATATATATTAAAAAACTGCAGATCTTGGTAGATATGTTATGTTTCAGGTCGATTATAATAGAAATCTTCCTTAAAAAAAACAAAAAAACAAAAAAAAACAAAAATAAAAAATCCAGAAAAAAAGATCTTAAAAATTAACATGTTATCACCCGATTCAACCAAAATACTATGACTCAGTATTTCGGTTTAGTAAAATCAAGATGATTTCGCTTTCCCATCTCCACTTTTGTCGAAATAAAGATTCCAGGTGTTTTTTTTTCAAAAACTTTATGAAAAAACTGAAGAAAATTGTCACTGAAAATAAATTAAATGGCATGTTTCTCGCCTAATATCTTGGAAATTTTGGAAAGGTATTAAATTTTAGAAATTTGACAGAAAAGGAAAGTTCTCAGTATCCAGCACCTATACTTACCTCTGTCAACTGAAGCTTCTTGCATTAGACATTCCCAGTAGCAGCTCAACAAATGGACCTATTCAAAGAAATCAGGTAACAGATACTGACAATTGAAAGTGACACAATTGAAAGTGGCTGGTAAGGTCAAGTATTTCATATAGAAATGTCTTACTGATTCTTTACTGTCAAAACAAAATTAAAAGGAGAGGGCTAGATATTGACATCATGTGCAAGAGCTGTGGGGAATCTCCTGAAACAGTGGAACATGTCCTATTTCATTGCCCCAAAGCAACTAGACTGTGGGAGATTGCCCCTGTCAAATGGGAAGGCCTACATTCCAAGAACTTCTCCTTCAAGTACTGGTGGAATCATATTTACACCTTGGGATCCACAGACATTGTTGGAGCAAGAATCCAGTTAACCACTTATATGCTTTGGTGGCTCTAGAAAACCCGAAACTTATGGCTATTTCAAGATATTTTTCTTCCAGTGCACTTTGTGGCCAAAGCAGGACATAAGGATTGGCTAGAAACTCTTCAGTGGCTCATTAGATAACTCAGTATGTTTCTGTTTTTAGGTTGATGTTTAGTTTGATGTCCTCTATATTCCTTGTGTTGTTATTGTTTGATGTTTCTTGTTTAGACCCTCTAGGCCTTGTGGCAATGGAAGGTCTTTAGTTGAGATTGACCTTATTTCGGTTGGTTGTATTATTCTAGTCCGCCGCGAGCGTGTTCTCCCAATCTTTGATTTGGTTTTTGATGCTGTATTAAGACTTTCTCCTCTCTTTGTTGATTAATATAACATCTATTGTTTCGT